ACTCACCGAGAGACTCTTTATGATCTTTCAATCTTATCCAAAATTGAAGAGCCTGACCTTTGAGGTGAGACTTAGCGATGCTAACCTGGTGTAACTCAGGGATATGACGTGATTAAAAATAGTCCTCTGATTGTCTAACCCATTCCCTAAAGTAGTAAGGGTCCGAGGAACCATCAAAGGAGGGTAAACGGTAAGGTGACTCTAAGTGAAGTCGTTGAGGCTTAGGCTCAGGTCTAGGTTGATAAGCAGAGTGGGGCATCTTCTGACTAGCATGATTGATCGAATGAGGCACATACTTGGAGTGGAGAGAGTCAACATGTTCCTCCTTTGTGGTTTTAGTTAGAGAGCCTACAAGGCTAACTAGGTCATCTAACTTCTTTTAAAATTCTATCGAGTCCATTGGAAAATGCTAAGTGATGCATAAAGAAGAATGGGCGTAAGGGACATCATTTAGACACTAAGTTAGGCTCACTTAGACTCACTAAAGGGTGCAGAAAATGTTTGGACAGCAAGCTAAGCTAGTGGTTTAAGCCACCTAGTCGCTTAGGAAGGTTGCTAAGGCTTGGACAGTACTAAGACACTAAATGAACTGCTCCTAATGCAACTAAATGGTGCAGATTTTGTGTGGACAGCAAACCACAGCAGTTGGTGAAGATGCCTAGGTGTTTAGGATGGGATTTGGGAAGTTGACAGCACCTAAACACTAGGTTAGGGTCATCAAAAATCCTCTAAATGCTGCAGAAATTTTCTGGACAGCAAGCCATAATGATTGTTTAAGTAACCTAGACAATTAGGGATGTTATTGTGACAAGGACAGCACTTAAACAATGACATAGACTTAATTAAAGCGATGTAAATGGTGCAGGAATTTAATGGGCAGCAAGGAAAAACAGTGAAATAAACTTAATTAAGCAATGGTATGCTTGCCGACAAGCACATGGTTGCTTAGGTAGACTCCTAGGATGTTTTCTAGCATATGTCACCTATGTCAACCTGGCTCTAATACCAAATATGATGTTAAACATAATTGCATGAATGAATTGCTTAAAGGAAATTTGCATGCTTAATATTCCTAGAACAAATAATTATATCTTAATGGTGAATTTAAACGATGAAATAAAGCACAAAGAACGGTAAGACAAGTTTAGACTAAATCATATGCATAGAAGTTAAGATCATAAAACAGTCAGTTTATCTAACATTACATACATTGATGGTTTCAACGAGAGATCCCTAGATTAACAATAAGATTAGTTATTATGCAATGATTCCTCGCTCAACTCCCTAAATTACTATGCTTTAGGAGAGGGATCAACAAGAATCGTTGTGAATCAAACTACAACCACAATTGAACGGTGGATTAGGAAGATATAGGAGTAGGAAGAAACATTTACCAAAGGGAAAGACAAATACGAAGCTCCAGCGTAAACTTTGGTGTTGGGGAAGAAGTCGACAGCAACACAAGGTTTGGGAACCTCCTGGACAGCAATCGGAGACCCTCTGGACAGCAAGACAGCCGTAGGAAATCTGCTAGGATGGCTGGACAGCAATTAAAGATGTTGGGATGGTCACTAGGAAAGCCTGACCAGCAATTTTGACCCTTGAAAAACTTTGGACAGCAGCCTTTAAGGTTAGAAATGCTTGGACAGCACTTGAGGGATTTTTGGTCAGCAAACAGGAGCAGATCTGGCAGCACTATGGCTGGTCGGAGTTTCCAGGAAAGCATTTTCTTAGTGGAAAATTGCTGGACAGCAATTTAGAGCAGGTCTTAGGAGCTAGGTTTTGAATTTTGAATCCCCAAATAACATAGAAAGGAGGGAAATTCATTCCTTAATGAGGGGTTGACAAAAGCAATTAGTGGGAGGTGATTTAATGAGGCAAGAGAGAGGGGGGGGGGGGGGGGCGAGGGGGGGGGGGGGAGGAGCCGGCCAAGGAGAGAGGAGAGAGAGAGGAGTTAGGCATTAAGGAGGTGGGCCCAAGCAATTAAGGTGATTGGGGACATAAATCTGAATTTAATTTCAGATTTATGTTAATTGAGGACCTCTCCTAAATTAGAGGGGGATCATTTAAGAGAGGATTTAAATTCAAATCTTTGAATTTTAAATTTTAAATTTCCTCCTAAATTGGTGGGCTAAATTAGGAAAGATTTTATGATGGAATTGAATTCAGATTTTGGGAGCTATGGGGGGAAAGGGGCCGGTGATTGTGGTGGTGCCTAGGGGACGGCGGGTGGAGAAGTTTGGGTGCCGGCGGTTGGGAAGAGGCTGTGGAATTCCCAATGGCTTGGAGGATGGGTGGTGGGCGGCAGGATGTGGGGAAGGGGGCGGGTGAAGGAATCGAAGGAGAGGAAGGTTGGAGTGGCCGGCGGCCAGGGGGCTTTGGGTGGGGAGGCCGGCGGGTGGGGAATTTGGGGAGGTGGAGCCGGCGGGTGTAGGGAGATGGGGAAGGGGAAAACAAATGCCAGGAGAATAAGAGAAAAAAATTGAAACATCTAGGGAGTTACAAACCTCAAGTATCTCCTCAAGAACTCACAAAGAGATCTTGAGAATCTCGGAACTCACAAAGATATCCTTCTCCTCTCATGAACTCACTAAGAGATCAAACAAGTAGAATAAACTTTCATTAACAATTCATCATCCCATAATACAAAACAACTAGCCTATAAATAGGCTCAAGAAAAGAAATAAAAGACTAAAATGCCCTTCGGGTTACAAAACTGCATGACCACCCGTAAGGGTATAAAGGGAAAAACAACAATATGAAATAAATTGGTACATAAACATATAAATAAATAACTCAAGATCGTAGCCGTTTATCTCCGATGTCCTCATCACCCTTAAATGGCCCCCAAACAACTGATGCAACCTATACCAATCTATCTTGTTCCATGTGAAGTGCAACCAACTGCACACTATAATAAGGTTTGGCAAAGACCGCCATGCTGCCATCGATAGTCTAGGAGGCCAAGCTACAAATTATCCAAGTCTATCTTGATGAGAGCATTAGTTTGGCAATGTCTAATCATGCTGATATGCACTCCTTATTGTGCAAATGGTCTAAAAAGGTTTGGACTTCTTGGACAAGTTTGATTCACGAGTCATTTGCGACAAAATGCACCTCACAAATAGAATACTTTATGCATGCAAAAATGGCAAAAACATTATCATTACTTCTTAGCAAACTCAAATAAGACAGCAAACCTTCTCAAAATCATTCAATCAGTTTGATGAGAACATGTAGGAGGTCAAGGAGAAGAGAGTCCAGGGGAATGGATGAGGTTATCGTCCACACTTCACATAGAGGAGTGAGTAGGTAGAAATGAAGCTATAATGAAGGCTGTAAAAGTAAATGAAGATGTCGTAAAAGTAAATATATGAACACAACATATTCAACGGTCCACTCTTTTCAAGCAAATGAATTGGAATCAGCCATCTATGGCTTCTTACCGTCCAACAAAACCAAAAAATTGTAATTAATGGGACAAACAAATTAGTTCAAAAAGAGGAAAACTTAGCATTAATCCAAAATAACAATATCAATCTAATAAACCACTAATTTAACCCATAAATAATAGTTACCAATTTCAATAGACTTATTTCAGCTTCTTTACTTCAAAATCCATACTTCCTTCCAACTAAAAATTATTGGGGATTTGCATAAATAACACTCAAAGCTATCGAATTTATATAACTAATAAATAAACCTTACTATTCACTCATATAAAACTAAATTTTTTTAGAGTAACATAGAGAATACTAACTTCCTAGTGTCTTCTTTGATGTCATTCCACCACATAACGACTTCCATAAATGTTCTTTATCGTTGAAGTTTTTGAGGCTGCTGCACATGCCGACGATACCATTGATGGCCTTCTCAAGTGAGATCTCATAGTGAAATCCGCTCCTTTTCTTTCTCATCAACCGTTTTGGGACTCTTGTGCACACTGTCAGTACCTTCCATGGTCTTTCCCCAAAGTGATCTTATCATGACTTCCTCTCCTCTTCTTTATCATCAATGAACCGCACATGTCCTTAGGGCATCTCCAACCGAAAATCTCATTTTTCACTCCAAAATGCAGTGAAACTAAAAAATGTCGTGATTCATCTGCAATCGAACTCCATTTTGCCCCCTTTTGCGAAGGTAATGGTCATTCTCTTCTTTGATGCGTTTCTTTGGCAAATTCGGCAGATACAGAAAAATAGCGAAGATGAACGGTGCAACGCCAATATTGGCGTCCCACTATTCACCCGCAACCAAATAGCAGAAGTTTTACAGTTCAGCTGAAACTCGCGAGTGACGTCATTCAAACGTTTGGAGTTTGGTTGAAGATGCCCTTAGTCCACATCGCGCCTTCCTCACATCAGCGAAACAAGGTCAACAAGGTTGCCAGAGTGGCAGATTAAGTAAAAGATAAGGTTTAAGTGTTAATGTATAATTTAGATTGTAAATTAAATTATATCTTTAAGTGTTATATATGTAAATCCCCCAAAATCATTTTACTTCAAAAAAATTCAACTTCCAATCACAATTCAAACACTAGAGAGATTACTACTACTATTATTATTATTTAAAAGTTAAGAATTGAAATATAATTTTAATATAAAAATTATTATAATATTCTTGACAATAATTTTTAAATATTTATAAAAAAAAAACTAACAAATACAAAATATTAAAATAAAATAAGATGTTCACTTTCATAGCTTCCTAGGGATGTTCATCCCTCATTGTAGCCGTTTTCTCTTTAGTATCGTCAAGATAATTCTGATACTCATAATTAAGAAATCCTAAGGGGCTGTTTGGTATCGGATTTACACCGGAATTTAAGTTGGATTTAAGCTAAATCCAGCCAAACGGTTTTTGTGCGCGCGTTAAATCCTGGCGATGGCTAAATACCGGATTTAAGGATTTACGGCTTAAATCCCGGATTTACTAAATCCCTCGGTTCGGCGGATTTATGGGATTTGGCCGAAAGAAGCGCGCGAAAGGTAGAAAGTTACCTTCAACGCCAGCGAGCTCCCGTTGTTGCTTCCGATCAAAATGTCGAAACTTCCGATCCGAGGTCGAACAACCACGAAGGAGCCGAAGAAGCGATGTGCACCCCTACACCAACGAAGCCGAGAAGCAACGAAGCTGAACAGCAACGACGAAAACAAAAGATGAAAGGCAAACCCTAAACCCTATACGCATCTAAGTTATTATTGATTAACTTAATTAATACAAATTAAAATATTAATAATTAAGTAAATTAATTAAATAAATAATATTATGATTAGTGCATAAATTAATTATAGAATTAACTTAATTAAATAATTAGTAATTAAATATTAGGAAAATTTACATACATACCACTTTATAACATCTTATTTACATATTTAACACCTAAAACTTTAATATTACATGCATGCCACCCTATATTATTTTAATATCAAATATACCACTTATACTTCTTTCCTACCACTCATATATTTCATTTCTATCACTCATATTTGATATGAAAATGAAC